CTGTCGATGGAAAGGCAAGCTATTTCAGACGAGCAGTTTCACCTATGGCTGCACTATGAGTGCAATCCTCTTCGACAAGTAGAAGGTGAGTGAGGTTGAAGCGTTCTAGTCCATATGTTGAAGTGTTTGCCTTTTGGGTATGATGCACCTCAGCCGGAGAATTGTGCACTGAGGCCGACCTGCCGCCCGGCCCTCGTAGCAAGGTTGTTCGAAGGTGGGCTTCAGCTTCCCGTGAACAAACCACACACCGTCGAAATGCATTTCCATGCACGAGTGGCACAGAGTCACTAGTCACGAGTGGCACGGCTGGCCTCGACCTGATTTATTGGACAAGTGAGGGGCGATTCACCCAAGGTGGTTAGGGATTGATCGTCCTTGTTTCCTTTGATTGTTTTCTTTCCCGACCTTGTCACCCCAAGGTAGTTCTTGCACACCACGGGCTTCCCCCAAAAACCTCGTGAGCTACCACTGGCAAAGCCAAAAAGCCAAAAAGCCAAAAAGCCAAAAAGCCAAAAAGCCAAATGCCTGGCTTCGGCACGGCCAAATGCCGCCAATGGCTTCGGCTCCCGATCTGAGGCGGGCCCGCGGCCTGGAGCTCGGGATGGCGTCGCGCGCATTTTTGCTTCGATTTCTATCCACATTTTTGTCGTTTTTGTCGTTTTTGTCGTTGTCTGAGCATCTTGGCATCTTGGCATGGCGTGATGGAAGGGGTCAAGCACTCAAGAGATACGCCGTTTGTTTTTGGGCCCGCACAAGAGGGCTGATGGAAGGCTTCGAACATTTTTTCGTGGCGCTCCCTCAGGTATGGGCCGCCTGGCTATGGCGGCCAGCCAATGCCGGCGATGCTGGCGCAGCCTCCATATGGAGGAGGAGAGCCAAACAACGTGCCCAGTCCAAGGAAGAACACGCGTGCTTGAGTCTCCAAGTCGTTTGACAGCTGCACAATTGACGGAAATTTGACGGCTTTACTGGACAAACTCTGGGTGCTTTCATCCACAAGAGGATTACTTGTTTGGAACCCCCTCTTCGAGTCTCTGGGAGGGCGTGGGGTGGCAGGGGCGTGGTCCACACAGGACCATCCCTGCCATCGGCACGGGGCACTTCCGTCATGACGATGGCGAGCACCCAGGCCTGGCTGTGGTTGTCGTCTAGGCCCCGGACCTTCAAGTGAAGCCATATGCCCGATACGCAAGCCGCAAGGAACTTGCGCTGGCACAATTGGGGTTGACCCTGCCATGCAGGCCATGCCGCCCGTTAGTTGTTGATCCTGTGGCGCATTACAACCTTGGACCCACTCCCCCCACCGAGAAAAGACACGCAGCAACAAAAACCGACGTGGCCGGTTCTGCCCCTGCAGAGGCCGATGGCCTGCAAGCAGAGGTGGCGCGACGTCAGGCAGCCGAGGCGCGGGTGCAGGAGCTGGAGGCGCGGGCAATCCCCGGGTTGCAGACCAACTGCACTTTTCGAGTTGAGGGCGTTCCTCTTGTTTTAGAGGCTTGGAATGTCAGACCTGTCAATTCTTAGCTATGGCTAGGAAAAGTTTGGAACTCGCGGATGTGGACACAGCTAAATCACAACTTTGACATGCAAGTCCAAACAGGACATCAGCTCCATCCTGCAAGCCAAGGCGCTGGTGGCGCGGCTGCAGAACCGCGTGGCGGTGCTTGAAGGGCGGCCGGCCAAAGGCTGGGCATGAAGATGCAGCGGCTGCAGCGTTTGTGACTTGCTCAGAGACATGTGGGCATGGGATCGTCAGGTGGCTCATCCCGCCGGTCAGGCCTGTCCCAGGCCGCTTGGCAAGGGTTAGTGCCGAGCTAGCTTGAGAACAGCTCAAAAGTTGCTCGCCACTGCGAGTATGACGGTCGGCGCTTTGCTTGTCGCAAACACCGTGTGCACTGGAAGTTTTGCCTCGATTGCCGGAATTTGGCTTGTGGGACGGCCCTGTGCTGACCAGGAAGGAATATGAGCTTCTTGCTTGCGCCTTTGCGTTGCCCAATTGTCACTTTGGAGTTGACTCCATCTCAAGTTTTGACCACGAACCTGATACACACACCCGTATTAATACATCTTCTGTTCTTTTGTTCCATGCCAGTCCTTTTGAGAAGGATGCTTCAAAAGCAAGGTAACTCGTACTAGCCAGGCCTTGAAGGAGAGCGAGCCGCGAGAGGAGTGGCTCTCAGTTCAAAACTTCAAGCTTCGACATCCTGCTTGACCCGATTGAGGTAGCTTCTGCCGCAGGTGGAGATGGGTTGCGATTGCTGTTTTTTCCTTCGTTCTCTTTAACACACTGAGTAGCATGATTCTCTGACACTGGCATTGGACCAGTGTTTACCCTCTCCAACAGTGTGGGTTGAACATTTGACATCAATCCCATCCTCACATCCCTGGCCAAAAGATGGCCAAATGATGGCTGCCAAGGAGGTGAATGGCGAGGAGGACTCCATCGACAGAGTAATTCGGACGCACCCCTTCCATGTTTTTGGGGATGTGCCGATTCGGCGATGCCACATTTTCCGTCCATAACTTGCAACGGTTCGTCCAGCCTCGAACATTTTGCACACGTGGAGAACGATTAGCCAGGTATTTGGAGCACAACCCTGACTTCCCAGTGTGAGCTTGGCTGAATTGGACGCACCAGATTCTGCTCGGTATCGCTGCAACGGCCAAGGTCGATTCAGAAGGTGGCCCCAAACTTCTACGTGGCATGGCTGAATTTCAGACTTAACCTCTTGGACTCGGTTTCTTGTGGCAGCATGTTCCTCGGGCGCATTGTAGCTTTTGATAGTTGACAAGCATGGTGGCTGCCTCACACCATCAGAAATAAATCTCGTACTGGCTGCCAAGGTCTTTGGCGATCGTGGGACTGTCGCAGCCTTGGGAGATGCTCGTGGCACAGTGGAGTGCATCCCCGTCGAGTCACCGGAACGGGCAGAAGACTATGTCTCATACAGTACCCTTCCCAAACTGGCCGACCAACTACACCAAGCCTAAACACACCCATCTCCCACCTGAAGCCATCTTTAAACAACCTCTAAACACCCGCGACACACCCTACACCGTAAACTCTAAACCAACCCTGAATCATTTGCAAGCCACCCGTAAGCCCACCCCAAGCCAACCCTAACTCCACGCAAACCCAAATGAACCCCCTGCCAAACAACAGGCGCTGAATCGGAGGGCTGCCGGACAGAAACAGAGAAAGGCCGCCCCTGGTGCAATCTTGTTGGGTTAGACAAGGTGTACATCCAGCAGCGCGGCGAGCATGTTGTGGTGCGCGTGGGCGGCGGCTACAAGTCCTTGCAGGCCGACCTTCAATTGCGCCTCGTGGAGTTGACAGGGTTCAGCTTGCCGGGTAATTGCGATTCCAACACTACGGGTTGTTTGCCCACAGACTTTGACAGTGTTGACAGTGATCTCCTTAAACTTTCCCGTATATCATGCTGCTTTTATTGTTTTGCCTTGAACCAGATTTTCATTCATAAGCAAAGTTTGTTTTCTACGCAAGCGACTTGCTATTTCAATGGGCCTGGCCGACTTGTCATCTTGTGATTCCCCAGTTTTCCAGCATTCTCACGCGGCTTGGCCAAGTCTTGCACACTTCTTTTTCTGCGAGCCTATCGTGGAGATTCATGGACTAACGTGAATCTTTGCCAGGTCTTTATGGATGCCGGATCCTCAGGGGAGCCAGCGTATGCTGCTCCGTCAGCGTGCATGGGTGGGCCAATTCAGCAGTTGAATTCGTCGGTAAACTTTGCCAGGTCATAGCTTGTGTTGTGATCGGAAGATTCATTCATCGGGCAACACCCTGAAATCCACATGAAAGCTGGTTGATGGCTCTTTGCACGCAGCCTAGAAGGTCATTTGTGCATGCCTCTCTAGGAGCGTGCCCTGATGGTAACGCGGGACAATGCCTGCCTCCCAGAGTGGTCGTAAGCCGTCGTTGGATACCATGGGCAATCCGACCCCGCCACCGTCCACGGTCACCACCATAGGGAGGGGCTACTCACTGGAAATGGCTGTCCGGAAGCTGCACGGCTCAAACAGCCGCGCAGGCTTTTCCATGAACATGACCAGTGTTTGGACTTCCTTCTTGCAGCCAGAGACTGCCTCTTTATACGCTTTGGCCGAGTTTGCGCAACACTGGTTGCTCAGATCGATGTGCGCAGGAAGAGCTGAAATTCGCACACTCAACTGGTGTTCCTTCGTCCCAAACAAAGGGCTCTGTCAGGACCCAATGACCCAATGACCCAATGACCCAGTGAGCAAGTAAGCTCTCGAAAGCATGGATGGCGTCGTGGACGCCGACGCCGGTGGCGTGAGCTCCATGAACTGGGGGGAGCTTTTGGCCCTGCTGGTGACTGGAGGCATTTTTGGTGCTGTGTGGGCCATCCTGCGGCCCCGGGGCTTTGCCGTGCAGCTTTGCGCCTGCGGTGACTCAGCTGACGGACAGGAAACGCGGGGCAGATTGCAGTCTTCCTTAATAAATTCGAATGCGGGGGGCCAGAGGGGCAAGGTGCAAGAAGCAAATTAGTGGCCGGGGATCACGCAAAGGCTTTGTGACCTCCTTGGTGTGCACCCAGCTGCTGATGAAGCACCTTGCGTCCGCAGCCAGGCGAGGTCGGGGTGATGACTTTGCCTTTCCCAGTCTGGGTGCAAGGGATGGCCTCTCTTCGTGCCGAATTCAGGCTAATTTAAATGGTTTGGAGCATGTCATGTCTTCAAAACATGACAGCTTTTGAGCCATTCGAAAACACAAAACAACGATGACTGGAGCAAACGATATCGAAAGATGAATATCATTTCATTTCGACCACAGCAACTAGCAACTGTTGTACCTCTGCCAGATATCGATTTCCTGGCCTGGTGACGACGCTGCACTTCCTCTTCGTGTGGTCTGTGAGCTGGGTGTTCCTGGCCGTGCGCGGGGAGTTCCAGCAGTGTAGGCCCATGTCCCTGGGCTCTGGCCGGCGCTATGCTGGCTTTGTGCTGCCCATCGCAGCCAGCCTGCCCATGTCCATCGTACTGTGCCCGGTCTGACTTGGAATGTCTCTGTCCATGTTGTCTCTTGAAAGAGCGACACGCTCGAACTGGGCGAACTCAGGAACAACACGTCCTTGATGTACATGGGCGCAGGCCTTGCAGGGGTCATTGGCACACTGGCACCGATCATCACAGCCATCCTCAGCCATTTCCTCGGGCGCAGCTTGCCTTCAGTCCAATGGAGTGAAAAGCTTTCCTTCAATTTCTCATCATTCTTGGTGAAATCGTGCAGAATGGGGTGCTCATCTTGACGGCTTGACTGCCTCGTTCCAGCACTTGCGTTGATGGCTATCTTGAGTCATGGCCAGTTTCTTCAATTGGATTGATGTTTTATCACTTTGGAGGGCGATTTAAGTCACCTTGCTCAAAGGCCAGATAGGGTACAGTGTCAGGGCATAGCCGTGGTGAACGCTGTGGCTGCGACTAGCCAGACGAGCTGTTGCTCACTGTTCATCAAGAGCTGCTGAGCAGACGCAACGTAGTGAGCAGCAGCCAATCAGCTCAGACACCACTCGTTGGCCTCTGGCCATTGTACCATGACCCCACAGGGGCAAGCTCGAGCCAACTCGCCTAAGGCCGCATCAGCCGTGCCGGTTGGATGGGTATTTTGGTGGCCACCTGTGGGGCCTCCTGCATCGCCATGGGTGAGGTGGAGGTGGGGGCCACGGAGTAGAGTGGCGCTTCAGAGTCAAAAAGGGTCTCAAAGTGCGGACACCTCAACCCACCCCCCAGCCCCAGAATTTGGCGAGGCTGCTGCACGGGAAAGACAGGATAGTCAATTGTTCAACAAGCGTGTTTTGCAGTGGTTTCAACTCTTGTTCAGGCGGGCACACAGGATGAGTTCGTGCTGCTGGGGCTCGTACTTTGCAGCATCTCGGTCTTGCTGCGGGCGGTGAAGGCGGTGCTGCAGGCTGGACTTGGATGTTCCCCCCAGCTCCAACAAGAAGATGAGGCTTCTTCTTCTCTGACGAATGCTACTCTCTGTTGGGTTCATTCGGTTGTGATTGGTGGCTGTCATGCGCTAGCTTTCCTAACAATCCTCATGCCTGGAATTGTTGAAGACAAAGGAACCTTCGCAGACCGCAAGGATCCATTTTCTGGCTGGCTTTGCACAATAGGCCGAGCTTGCAACGATCTTTTTTGTGTCGCTGTTGTTGGTCAGAGCTTCACTTAAGGGCGACATGCCTTCCAAGCGCCTCGCCACCACTTCCTTTTTCGACGCCCAATAATTCCAAGGACAAACTCCTGGAGCCAGCGGCCTATGACGTGGAGAAGGGCCAGGCCTACGCCGCGCCCTCGCTGGAGCCCATGTGCCTTTGGCTGAGTCCAGGAAGGTACTACAGCGGCCCCAATAGGGGAACGCTAACATATGTTGGGCTTTTAGGTTGCTTGTTTATAATTATCCAAAAGGGGCTAGTAGGAGGAAAGGAAGGGCTCCAATCTGACCACCAAATTCCAAAGCATCCACTCATTTCCCTTGTGCCCTCTTGGGGAACAAAGAGTCTGCCAACTTGCATTTTTCCAATCATGATCCTATCAATGAGCCACAAAGGCACCTTTGATGACTCTGATTTGGATTGAATCTACGGAGTATTGGTCTACAAGTCAGAGCGATCTGACAAAACCGAAGTTGGAACAACTGGTTGCTCCACGGTGAAGGGCTTTAATTTCACCGGCAAGAGACCCCAAACAGTGTTGGGCAAGGTGCGGAAATGCAAAGCAACTTTTTGCACGAAGCACAGTGCTGCTGCAGGGTGAAACTCGGCATGCACACATCCCTACTCGCGCAGCCGCAGAGTAGAGTAGCAGCCACCGCTGCGCGGCGCGGAGCAAATCGTCCAAGGCGCCAAAGATCTGCTGCGAAGGCACGTCCAGCGGCAAATGCGCGTAGGCCCCAGGACTCTCCGGAGCGATGCACGCGTGCCAGTGGATGCGCGGTATGGCCGCTGAGAGCGCGAGCGGCCAATGAAGCAAGCGCCTTGCCTCGTCTGCTGCTCCGACCTCTCTGGCTGCAGCCTTACGCCCCGACAAACGAGGCTTGCCGAGCTCGCGCCAGCGCAGCTGCTTCGTTGCCATGGCGTCTGGGCTCAAGCTGTGATCAAGCATGGCGCTGACGACCTCGGCAGCTTGCTGCGCGCCCTATCGCCAGCGCGGTTTGCGAGGCCTGCGCCCCTGCGGCGCATGTCCGCATCCGCGTCCAAGGCAGGATCGAATAGGATTCGATCCAGAGAGAGACACGGCCGCAGCAGCGGGTGGCGCGGGGGCCGGGCAAAAAAAGCGCATCGCAAGCCGTCCTTGGCTTCTAAGAAGGCTTGCCTCCGCACCTGCAAGGCCTCTCAACACACATTCAACACACATGACCCGAGATGCCCAAGGTCCTCGAACGTCCGTGCCGCCGTGGCTCAGGATCCAAGAGTTCGGCCACGCCCGCATTTGCTGAAGTGTACTTAATATCAAAGTTTTGCTTCTTGACGTGTGACGGGGAATAATGCAAGAAGTAACATTGCGCCTTGTCGTGAACCCAACCCCTCAGCCATTTCTGCGGTTGGCAAAACGTGCTCCAGGATGACGCAGAACAACAAACATGTCCAGACAAGAGAAGATACAGTGGCGCGACGCGCGAAAGGTTCCTTTTACTAGGTATCAATTTAGAGCGCCGCAACGGACGCGATGCGACCAAACCAAAGTCCTCAAAGGGCCAAGTGCGATTCTGTAAACTCGCGCCGCGCCGCAACAGCAGCGGGCCACCCGCCCAAAGTCCGTGATCTCTTTCGAGGCTGCGATCGCCGCAAGGAGAGAACTTTACGGGGTCTCGGCAAGAGGATCTGTGCGAGGTCTGTGTACAAGATCTCTGTCACACGCTCTGCGCAAAATCTCTGCGCGAGATCTCTTTTCAATATCAAGAAGGTCTTCAAGAACATCCTCGGCAAGATTTCTTGAGAACTCTACCTGCGAAATCTTTGCGCGCGATCTCTTGCTCAGAGCCTTTGCAACATCACTTTTAGAAAGCAATTTCCAACTTTATATGTTCAACATTTGCACCTACAACGAGAACGAGCCAACCCAAGCAAAGTCTGCAGAGGGTTTGCGTTCGATGATGTCCGAAGTTTGCGCCGCATCACAGCGAGAGCGATTCGTCCGCAGAGGGCTCACTTCTAATGTTCCAAATTTGCACTGCGCCACAGCGCGAATCCGACCCACCCAAACTGCGCAGAGGGTTCGCTTTTGATTTTTAATAGTCACACCGCGCCGCAGCGAAACCAATCCCCCACAGTCCGCAGAGGGTTCACTTTCGATGTTCCAACTTTGCACCGCGCCGCAGCGAGAGCGATCCGACCCGCTGAGAGCGCGCCGAGGGCTCACTTTCGATGTTCCACATTCGCGCCGCGCCACAGCGAGAGCGATCCGACCCGCCCAAAGTAGAAGGTTCAGCTTCGATGTTCAAATTTCGCACCGCGCTGCAGCGAGACAGGTCCAACCCACCCATAGCGCGCAAAGGGTTCGCTTTCGATGTTCGAAATTCGCACCTCGCCGCAGCGAGAGCGATCCGACCCACTCTCGATGTTACAAGTTGCGCCGCGCCTGAACGAGGGCGATTTGACGCGCGCAAAGTCCGCAAAGGGTTGGTTGCGATGCTGAAACTCGAGCGATCCGACCCACCCAAAGTGCGCAGAGGGTTCACTAGTCAGCCGTTTTCGGAATTCGCGCGGCACCGCAGAGCGCACACCCGGCGAAAGACACACAATAAGTCCCACCAGTTTGTGTGCGAGCCTGCGCAGTCGAAATGCACTGAGCGAGCGCCCCAATCCAACGCCGGGCCTTTACGCTTGCCGTAAGAACCCCTTATTGTTAGCGCAATGTCGGGGAAAAAGAAGAATACCACCCTCCGGGTGACGAATCCAAGATTCTTGTCAGCTGGCCATGCAGCAGGAAAGCAGCGCCCCGTTATAGAGCCTGCCTTTGGCGCTTGTTGGAAAAAGGAAAAACACACAACGTGCTTTCGATGGTTGAACGTTATTCATATGAATCATACTTGTATCTAGTTATTTGCCTTTCTCGCTCGGTCATGTGCCGAGGTATTCAGTTATCTGCAAACTAGTCCATTTGGTTGATCTGATTGCATTGCTTGCTTGGTCATCTATTTGTTTGCTACTGATGCATCCACGCTGCATTCATTCGTCCGTTCGTTCGTTCATTCATTCATTCTTTCGGTCGGTCGGTCGGTCGGTCAGTGTGTCAGTCAGGACCATTCCATTCCATTTCGCTCCGTTCGCTCCATTCGTTCCGTTCGTGCCATGCCTGATTCGTTCGCACGCGCGTTCGTTTATTCGATTGAGTCATTCATCCGTTCATGTGTTCACTTGTCAGATCATGCGTTCGTTTGCTGTGTTCGTTCATTCGTCTCGGTGTCTCTCAGTGTCTCTGCCTCTCTGCCTGCCTTCTTGGACTCATTCATATTTTGATGAAGCTGGCTAGTCAAATGAGCAAGCTTAGCATCATGCTTCGCAGTTTCTTTAGTTTTGTGGTGCCTTGCGTGATGCTGCGCATAATGTTGCAAATCATGCTGCGCGTGATGCTGTGCGTGATGTTGCCCATGACGCTCTGCAACACCTCTTGTCCACTCTTTGTGCCCGTTTCTTTTGTCAACCTGTCTTGTCCAAATCAGTGAGCAGTGTGGCTGCGCAAGAAGGCTGGCTGTCTTAGCTACGGAAGTGTACTTCGCACACTACTTTTGCGTGCAGAAGTTAAGATTTTCAAGCTGGAGATGCGCAAGTTCAACTGGGTGTTTCTTTTGCGCTTTACAGTTGCAATTTGCGAGCTGGACATGATGGAGTGCGCTCTCCGAACATTACTTCTGCGCTGAAAGACTGTGACTTGCGAGCTGGGGCTTGCGAGGGCGCGCTGGAGTTGCGGGAGTGCGCTTCGTGTACTTGGTGCTTAACAATTGTGATTTTGCAGTCGGAGCTGTGGGAGTGCTTTTCACGTACTACTTTTGCGCTTTAAACTTGCAAGCTTTCAGCCGGAGCTGCGGGCATGCGCTTCGCGTACTACTTTTGTACTTAGAAGTTGCGAGTTTCCATCCGGAGATGCGGGAGTGCGCTTCGTGTACTACTTTTGTACGTAATAGGTGCGATTGTGCAGCGGGAGCTACGGGAGTGCGCTTCGTGTACTACTTTTGCACTCAAAAAAGGCGATTTGGCAGCCAGAGCTGCGGGAATGTGCTTCGCGCGCTACTTTTGTGCGCTATTCGTGAGCCAGAGTCACGGGAATGTACTTCGCGCACTACTTTTCTACTACAAAATTACGATTTTCAATCCTGAGCTGCAACGCTCTGCGCGTGCTGCTTGTGCATACTTGAAACTTGCGAGTTCAGCTCCGGGACGCACTTTGCGTGCGTACTTTTGTACGCCAAAGTTTCCATTTTCCAGCCAGAGCTGCAGGAGCGTAGATAGCAAGATGGCTTGAGGGATGGCGGGATAGATGGACAATAGATTGATAAGTGCATAGATAGACGGGCAGGTTGCTAGGTAGATAGAGATGTAAGATCGGACAAGACGAGGTAAGATAGACCAGGTAGCTAAGGTAAGTAGACAGATGGATAGCTAGGTAGATGGAGATAGATAGGAAGATGAATAGGCAAATGAGTCGAGAGATAGGAGATAGGTAGGTAGAGAGATAGAGTTACATGGATAGAGTAGATAGACAAAAAGCCTTTATAGATAGATAGACAGACAGACAGGCAGACAGAGAAACAGAGAAACAGAATAGAGAGGTAGCTATGTACTTCGATAGGTAGATAGACCGATCGATAGGTTGTTTGAGTGCAAACGCGATAGACGCCTAGATAGGATGAAGACGAGAAAGGGCGGAAACGAGGACGAAAGAAAGACATGACCAAAGAGATACAGAACACAAAGGAAGGAAGACACAAAGAAAGAAAACAAGTGAGAGGCAAAAGAAAGTAAGAAAGACAAGAAAGAAAGAAGAACAAGAAAGAAAGAAAGAAGGAAGGAAGAACGGAAGGAAGGAAAGAAAGAAAAGAAAAGAAAAGAAAGAAGGAAACAAAGACAGCAAGAAAGAAAGAAGGAAAGAAAGAAAAGAAAAGAAAGAAGGAAACAAAGACAGCAAGAAAGAAAGAAGGAAAGAAAGAAAGAAAGAAAGAAAGGAAGGAAGGAAGAAAGGAAGAAAGGAAGAAAGGAAGAAAGGAAGAAAGGAAAAAAGAAAGAACAGAAAGAAAGAAAGAAAGAAAGAAAGAAAGGAAGGAAGAAAGGAAGAAAGGAAGAAAGGAAGAAAGGAAAAAAGGAAAAAAGAAAGAACAGAAAGAAAGAAAGGAAAGAAAGAAAGGAAAGAAAGAAAGGAAAGAAAGAAAGGAAAGAAAGGAAGGAAGGAAGGAAGGAAGAGAGAGAGAGAGAGAGAGCCAGAAAGAAAGAAAGAAAGGAAAGAAAAGAAAGAAAGGAACGAAAGAAAGAAATACAAAAAGGAAAGAAAGAAAGGAAGGAAGGAAGGAAGGAAGGAAGGAAGAAAGGAAGGAAGGAAGGAAGGAAGGAAGAAAGAGAGAGAGAGAGAAAGAAATACAGAAAGAAAGAAAAGAAAGAAAGAAAGAAAGAAGAAAGAAAGAGAGAAAGAAAGAAAGCAAGAAAGAAAGAAAGAAAGAAAGAAAGACAGAAAGAAATAAAGAAAGAAAGAAAGAAAGAAAGAAAGAAAAAGGAAAGAAAGACAGAAAGAAAGAAAGAAAGAAAGAAAGGAAAGAAAGAAAGGAAGGAAGGAAGGAAAGGAAGGAAGGAAAGAAAGCGGGAAAATAAGAAAGAAAGGAGAAAGACTGAGACAAAGGAAAGGAAAGAAAGATTGATTCAACAGAATGAAGGAAAGAAAGACAGATGTCAATGAGAAAGGAGAGAAACAACACGAAAGAAAGAAAGAGACACCCAGCTATCGTTTGTATTTTTTCGACACTTACGCCCACCGGCTTTGTCTGTTACTGTTTTTCGTTTATCAGTTGTTCGTTGGTTTGAACATGACGCGTTTGAACATTCCATCCCTCCGAGCTTGCTTCTTGCCGACCATTGAATTAAGAAGGCCTTCCCGACGTGATACCAGGTTTCCAATTTACACATGCCTAGTTCTGTCTAGTTCTGTGAGGTTGCTGAAGGCCTTCCGAGGCATGTTTGGGCCCTGACCGCGCCTCCGTGCACGTTGCTGGCGCTGTGCTACGCGCTGTGCACGGAGAGCCCTGCCCAGGCGGTGACGGAGCTGACGCTCTCCGTAGGCCGTTAACGGAATGGTCATTGGCCATCTTTGTGAATCTTTGTGTTAGAGTTTGAAGCCCTGCTTGCAGCTGGGATCATTTCCTGTAGCAAGGGAACGAATCTCAGAATTACCTAGTGCTCGAGCATTGCCTATGGAAGGGTGGAGATTTGGTTCCTTGTTTGAACCAACCAGCTGGCCATCATTTCGGATTTATTCCATTGGCCGACTTTCTCCGTCCTGCAAGGCTCGCTGGTGCTGCTGAGCTGCATCAGCGCCACAGTCCTGAACGTTTTGGGCATGACGCTGGACATGATTAGAATGCTGGGTCTTTGTGTCGGAGACCACCACTGAATTGGTTGATGGCATGCATCCGTAGCTTTTTTGAATCCAAATTGGAAACGGTGACGCACCATTGGTTTCGCATTGCTTTGGCCGAGAGTCAGATTGATTCATGCAGGCCACTCCAATGTGCAGGGCTGTGTTGCGGTCAAAACCACAAGTGCAGCGGTGGAGTCCGGCGGAGCAACTGATTGGTTGGGCGCACTATTTCTGGACAGGGACCGAAGAGACATCAAAAGACATCAGCCTTGGTTTTGGTCCGAGGATGACGGTCAAGCAGCTGGGCGCCAGCAGCATGCAGATTGTCGGGAAGCTGAACACCCTGGTGCTGCTGGCTCTGTCCATGGGCTTCTGGGGGGAGCAGATGCCCAAGGAGAAACGCCATTGGTTCAATGTGCGGGTTCAAAGTTTTTGAGGGCGCAAACGGCTTTCTTTCCAGCATGAATGCAATCGGTGTTAAAGTGGCGCTCACACTGGTGAAATAGAAGTTCCAAGCCTTCGCCAAACAGAATTTTGGACCTTTGGTTGCCTTTGCATTCATTCGTTTGTAGCTTGTCTCAAGCCCAGAATTGCCAAGACCCATAGCTGTCATTGTCGAAATAGAAAGTTTTTTTTGCAATGTCAAGTTGAAGTTCCTCTTAGGGTTTAGGCTGCTTGAGACCAAGTCAGAAGAAATCACCATCGTTTTGACAAAGCAGGTTGCCAGATTCCCGGCGCACTGCAGGAGGTTGTGCTGGGCACCTTCTTTGTCCTCCTGGGCGTGGCAATCTTTGAGCATGGCTCCTGGGATGAAGGAGCTACGCCCGTTGCGCCACATCACATGCTTTCGCCACTTGCTATGGGTCGCGATCCACAAAAACAACGCCTTGCTACGCTCAGTGGACGTCTGGCACAACTGGAGTTGGCAAAATTAAGTAAACGCATGCCGCTAGCATTAGTTGGCAGTTGAGACTGGCAGTTTTGCGTTTTCAGCAAGGGCAAATGGTAGTTTTGTTTCTGAGTGCTGCTGCTGGGGCAAAAAACGCAGCCCTCACATCCCAGTCCAGGGCCCCTGATACAACCAGACTTGGCACCCGTTTTGGGGTTGACTATTTTTTAGAGGAGCGTTTGCCGAACAAAAGAGGATGGATCGGGCTGGGCTTACAACCCCTCCTTCCCTCCTCCCAACCCCTCCTTCCCTCCTCCTGTTCTTCGAATTCACTCACATCTTTTCCTCAAATCTTATCAAAACGAGCCACATCCACTCGAACTTGCTGACACTCATGTGGCCAGAAGTGCGGGAAGAAGGGTGAGTACGCTTACTTCCCAGTTCATGCTGCGACCACACTCCAAACTGCGATGGGATTGCGGCGGAACCAACTTCGACCCCGTGAAGATCCCAGCAATGGTGACCTTTCAAGTTGGATTTTAGTTTCAAGGGCTTGGCATGCCTAGTAGGCGCGGCAAGCCAGTATGATTCCCAACATGTTTGGCGACCTCTGCGTCAACTTGCCAGTTAGCATACCAACAAAGACATGTATTGTCATACTCTCAACAGAAGGAGGCTAGAGCTGGAGGCCAATCCAGAAATTTGGCAACAAAAGAAAACAGCGCATACATCATGTAGTTGATGTGTGATTTAGATGCCTATCGATGCAAGATTTGCGGGATGGTATTTGTTGAGAGTGCCGACTTGACCCGGCATTTGCAGTTCCAGCCCAATTTCAGCTTTCAGGGAGTGCAGACAGTGCATACCTTCCTTCAGCAGGCAATTTTAGATTCTCAAATTACTTGTAGCCAATAAACCCGCAATCCAAAGACGAGCAGCATGTGCTCTCACAACCCTCATCAGGCACGTTGTGACAATAGCGCGGGCAGAATATGTGGTTGGTCAGTTAGATGATAGTGGTTCTGTTTGTGTGCATTGTTTGGGTTGAGCGCATTGTAGGAGGCACTGGGCAACACGTGTCATGTGCTCGTGATCAGGATATGGCAATGAATTTTTGCGAGTTCATGCAGGAGTTCCACGAGCAACGTAGCCCTTTGACGAGGGTGAACTTTGCTTTTGGGTCAAAATCCCCCATCGCCACCCTCTGTAGTCTTAGGTTCACTTTGGCTGTACTTTCGCACATGCATGCACGTGAAAGCAACTCACCGGCTGTGCGGCGCTTGAAGCTGGGGGTTCAGCCTGAGGTGCTTCGAGGTCAAAGCTGAGCGGCAGGTGAGAGCGTCAGCCCAACTGAAGCCTTGCTTGCGGAATCCACGCGCAGCATGCAAGAATATTCATCAACCGGTGGTGCATCGGATGTGACATATGTTGCATCAGATGTGACCTATGGAGCTCACACACTACGCTTGGGGCTTTGTCAGAATCATTGCTCACTGTTCGGATGATAGCCATGAGCTCCACTGGGGCTGGAATGTGTTTTACTACTCTTTGCAGGTGGATGGACCCCGATTCTGGCAGAGGCCCTCACGAGCCACAATCAAACCTAGGTATATGGAAGGTATTCAGGGACAGTTGCATTCAGAAATAGGTATTTTGGGTATGGTAGACCAGTGTAATACTTGGGTTTTATTCTGACTCAACGAGGCAAGCAAAAAGCAGCATTGCCTCGGTCGGCTGTGCAAAGACTGCAGCAAAAAATGGCGCGATTGTGATGGCGCCACTGAATAAGGGTGAGGCTGTTGACATGTGCAGCCATTTGTGTGAAGCTGCTGGTTGAGTTTGGTAGTCGGATTCCACGAACATGGGTACATGCATTGACAGGTGCGCATACAGCGGAATCACTTGTGCGAGGCATATCCGCATCGTCTCTGCCTGCACCCTGAAACCAAGGCAGCAGCGGTACGCAAGCAGCAGGAGGAACAAGCAGCAGCCTCGGTTCGCAGCTTTGGCGATGGCCACCCCTTGTTATTCCTAACAAGAGCAACTAGTCTAACTAGTCTTCTTTGCGGAAAATGCCGGATGCGGAAGATGCCTTGTCGGTATGTGGATCAAGACTGCAAGCACTGGAATCGAATCAAGGCACCGGAAGGTCATGGCAACTGATAGTAAAACAACGGCACTCTCTGCTTCACGTCTCTGCTTCACCCGCTTGGACCTGGAAGTGCAGCTCCATGCCCGATCTTCTCATGCCCACAGTGGAATTCCGATTTACATCCGCTGAATACACCCCACACACCGCTTTGCCGAGATTCTTCTAGAAAGAGTTTTGTTATCGGAGGCGCTTGACTGCAGCTGAGACATTTTGTACCAAGGCGGAGTCGCGGACCCCATCAGGACGAGTGATGCTGGGGCCTTCCTGAGACGAGCCTTTCCAGGCGAGTCCTGGGTTGTCAGACAAGCACTCCTGCGGGCTTTTTGGGGGTTGGTCCAAGTGAGACCGTGACTCGTAGACAAAAGATTTGTTCATTTGTTTGGACCAACCTCCATTGATATCAAAAAAAATGGTACTTGTAGCTGGAATTGTTACTGTCACGCACCTCTTGGACAATCTGAGAGGGTGATGATCGCAAGTCTGAGCGAATCTCGACATGCGATCCCTAAAGTATATTGCAATCGTTTGTACAATTCGAGATGGTCAATGCTATGGCTTGATTGCCTGATGAACAGCTCAGGAAAAAACAACCTGCTTAGCAAATACGCTTGGACTCAGGAGCCGATTCCGCATACAGGTGTGTGTTTGCAAAGCGTGGCAGCTGGCCCGCGATGACATGATGCAGAATACCGTCCACACACACACACACACCTCGACTAGATTTGAAAATCTCAAGCCCACATGCTGCAATTGAGGCGTCGAAGGCAGGAATGACAAGCCTCAGAGCTCGCTCGCCCTTTCACCATAGCTGTCGGCCATGAGAAGATGCATGTGGACCACATATGTCTGTGGCTTTAAAGCATCAAGTTGCACATGGCACTCAGCTCGTTGACCTCATTTGGCATGTATAATTTTTGCGATGTTAGCCTTGTTGCTTCGTTGGCAGCGTTTGCTTTCTGAGCTGGTACTCTGAAAGATTGTGAGCCTTGACCTTTGGGCACCCAGTCTCGAGTCCGTACAGCAAAAGTCGAATCTCTTGAGGTTTTCAGCTGGCTGACGTGGGAGTGGATCCGCATTGAAGATGCATCGCCATGGTGCACGTCGGGTCTCTGCGTGAGGTGCTCAGTGAGGCCCGGCCCAGCTGGAGCGAGAAGGACCTCACTGCAGTGGAGGAGGGCCTCACCGTCCCCCGTCTTGTTTTGAAGCAAGGCTTGTGCTTCTCTCAGTTCTTGTTTTGTTCTAAAAAGGGTCAGAGGTAACGACCTGTCTTTTGCGATTGTCAATGTTTCGGCTGCAGACCACAGAAAGGAAGCCAAAACGCTGCATCATCTCCGGACATCAGCATGGCAAATCGGGAGACTCTCTTGGCACTGTAGCATGTTAGGGCAGGGAGAGAAGGCGAGCAACCAGTACGACTTCGAGTCTAATTGCTTCGATTGCCTCGGCCTCCATTCTTTCCATGCAGGGCTTTGCCCAGGGTTCGGTGCCCCGTGGAGCAGCAACTCGGGTTCGGAACCCAAGCCTGGCGACCCAGCGGCTTGAGCATCTCGAGCACCTTTGGCACCTTGAGCGGGGGTGTTTGTATGAACTGGTTCAAGATTCGGCAGCGACAACGCCCAATGCATTCTTGTAAAACAAGGTCATGTGATTCATGGGATCCGTCCCGGCCAATGTTCAATGCACGCGCATACCCTTGCATAGGTTCAAGTGAGTGGGTTCCGGTCTCCTGTGGGCCTCCTGGGTACTGCCCGAGGCAGAAAGTGCCTTCATGGGAACGGATGTTTCTCTTCAAATTCTCATTCCGCGATTCCGCGTCCGGTTTGAGGCCTGTGCCCCTTGCCATTCGCTAGGAGAAGCTGTCGCGGGTGGGGGTGGCCACTGCCCAGCAGCTGGCAGAGCTGCTGGCGGAGATCAACTCGCGGCTGCTGAAGGCAGAGCTGTGCGGAACCAGTGGCAGAGCTGTTTCGGGTTGCACCGTGGCCAAAGGAGCACAGTCGCACAGCGGAACGTGCCTGGCGTGTGTCGGTTGCTTTTGTCTTCATTTTTGTACCCGGATGGAGCCACGGTTGGCCAACCAATGCTTCTGGGTATGAGGACCAAGGGCAACTTGTTTGAGCACAATTTATTGCTTGCAAGTGATCACCACATGATTGATGCACAATCGGTTAGCTTATATTGACACCTATCAACTGACCAAGTCGTGAAGTGTCAGAAAGAGAACACATTTGTGGATGACTTTATATCCTTTTGAAGCCTTTGGTTGAAGGCGGGGCAGAAGGCCTTCAACAGCGAGACCTTAGCAGCCCTCAGGCCGCGGAGAGGTGTAAGACAACCTCAGAATGCCTCGCAGAGCTGGCATTCGACGTTTTTGAGCCCCAACCGGTTTTGAATCATTGTCTCTTTGCAAGATTTTGCAAGTTGATTTTTGGAAAAAGGTTCAGCATTCTCCCAACACCATGCGTGCGAATTCTGCCCTGAGGTCCCGCCTTGAGGCGAAGGGCGATGGCAGGGAGACGAAGGACGAACCCAAGGCGACAGGCTACCCTGGCCAAAGGGAGGCTTCAGCAACTGCGCCGACAGCTGCACCTGGCCAGGGACAAGGGGCGACCGCCAAGAGTACTGCGACTGCGAATCTGCCACAGCACGAGCGAAGGGAAGCCGCCCCCGACCAGAAGCCCACGCCCGAAGCAAAGGACAGGGATCAAACATCAACTCGCAGGCAAACCCGGCTGTGGACGAGAAGGCTGTTTGGCAGCGGCATTCCGTGGGCTTGGAGATCGATATGTTGTGAGTTTACATTTCCACAATATCAATATTGCTTTAGCTTCACAAGCTCCTTTCAGGCAGTCATGGCAGACTTAGACAAATATGACATTCTAAGAAGAAAAGACATGGAGTTACTCTGTTATCTTTCGCTTGCGACGGCCATGGGCCAAAGGTTCCCAGCATGCGACGCGCGAACGAATTGCCGAAAGCACGCCCTCCCACCAGGTAGATGCTGAGAACACAGGTAGTCCTAGAATAGAATTGGCGGCTGAAAACGGTCAAGTAAAAAGATGTCACTTTAGAGAGGGGGTGTAGAAGAAAGACCTCAATTTTGGGATCAACCACTCTTGGTAGGTTTCCAACAGCGACGGCTCAAGCCAGGAGTGGAATGACCAGGTGTGACGCAGGAAAGATTCTCATCACAAGACACCTTGCAGCTCCGTGGGAGGATCCGCCGGGACCTGTGCCCTCCACCTACTCGCCCTCCGCCCAGTTTGGCACCCTCGAGGCGCTGGGGGAGACGCAGCTCATCAAGGCGCGGACCATCGCGCAGTGTAGGGGCTGCAGCGTTTTCAAGGTATGCAATGCACCGGTGTCCTTTTGTCCCGCCAAAGGGCAAATGGTAAAATGATCATCTAGATCGGTATTGACTCATCTCTCAGAAGATGAAGGGTGCTGAGTCTCGTGAAAGAATGAGACCAAAATTGCAAGTTGAAACGGGTGGCGCCTCGTTTTCCAGTCTTAGCCAGTATTTGAGCATTGCCTTTGTACACCATTCAAACATCGTGCCGCCGGACACAAGCAGAAGGTTCCATCGAGAATGGTATACTCGTAGTGGATAGATGGGATCTTGGCAAACCAGTGTGGCCAGGGTCCCACTTTTGGATTAACCCAAGGTAAAAATCAACCCAGAGGTGGTTCATTTCCCTCACAAGAAGGATCCCTGTTTAAGTTTTCCTTGGGGCAGCCAAAAAGTGAAACCCTAAGTGTGACAGTGGTTGGGGGACGGCCAGCCCAAGTGAGGGCATGGTTCGCGGAAGTTGCTGAGGCAGTGCGCCAAAATGACCTGCGCACTGCACAATATCTGCTGGAGCACAGAGCAGACCCGAACGAGAAGGACGTGCAAAGAGCCACTGGTGTGAGAGCATAAATGCATAGAGGCCAGTCACGCCATTTGAAGCTTCTTGCATTCGTCACCAAGGACTGGCACTCGGTATTTTGCCTCTTGCTTTCCTAACTGAAACTTTACGACGCTTACAAATCCATGATTTGACCAAGTTGTACCTCTCAAGCAAGCAGCCAGCCAGCCAGCCAGCCAGGCAGCAAGAAAGCAAGCAAGCAAGAAAGCAAGCAAGCAAGAAAGCAAGCAAGCAAGAAAGCAAGCAAGCAAGAAAGCAAGCAAGCAAGAAAGCAAGCAAGCAAACAATCAAACAACAACAAAGCAAATAAAAAGAAACAAACAAGCAAGCAACCAAAGAACCAATCAGGCAACCAACCAACCCAACAAACAGACAGACAGGCACACACAGACAGGCAAACCGACAAACGGCCAAACAGACAAACAGACAAACAGACAAACACATAGAC